TCAAACGGGATGGTAAAAATGCACTGCATAGATCAATTACAGTGAAAAATTTGCCTTCAGGGGCGCCTGGGTGGCTCAGCCAGTTAAGCCGTTGCCTTCGGCTCAGGTCATGATCCCAGGGTCCTGGGATCGAGCCCTGCATCGGGCTCCCTGCTCTGCGGAGAGCCTGTTTCTCCTTCTCCCTCTGCCCCCCGCTCTGCCTATCTGTACTCTCTCTGTCAAATAAATAAAACCTTTAAAAAAAAAAATTGGCCTTCAGTGGGACTGGATGGTCCGAAGCATATGGGGCTTAGGAACAACAGGTGCCAAGAGAAAACAATGTTGGTTTTGCTTAGAGGTCGGGGACAAACCCCCATCCTCAGCTACTGGGGCTTCCTCACAGGTAAAATAGCGGTATTATAGGCACTAGTGCAGGGGATAATGAGGCTCCGAGCCTTGCAATCTTCTATTATAGCCTTGATGCCTTGAAGGGCTTCTTTATACGGTATTGATTCATTCTGAGAAGAGATTTTGAGGGATCTATTTGAATCCTATGGGAGGTGCACTGTGGACTCTGCCAGTATCACCTGAAGATGTTGCTCATAAAGAGGATGGTAGCTGGGCCAAGAGGAACAAATGATAGGACTCCGCTGTGGTGAGTTTGATTGCTGCCACACCAAAGGCCAACACACTTTCAACAGCCCCAGTTCCACCAGGAGCAGTCTGGTTCCAAATGGGAGTCAGACCGAAGGGCAGCCCAATCCAAAAGGAACAGTTCGATTTGGAAAAAGAGTCAGACGGAAGGCCAAGCGAACACTCTCAGAAAAAAAATGAGATCTGAAAACACATCCTGAATAAAGACCGAAGAGCTCAAACACAAAGAGAGCAGAGCTCAAAATCCAGGAGAAAACTTACCCTCAACGCCAAGGTCCTGGAGGAGTCAGTGCGCCCGACTGGCTCTGCGGGTATCAGCGCCCGTTTGCTCCCCAGCCCCAGAATTGTTGGGGCGTTTCTCTGCATCCCACTCATGGCCACTAATGTTAACCTTAAAAATAAAATGCCAGTTATTTTACCAGCAAAAACGGGCTTTTATGGGAATAACAAAGAATCACAATTTAGGGGAGGTAAGCTACCCCGAAACCATAGAGAAGCCTGCAGGGCGAAGGAGAGGACTCCTTTTCTATAGAGAAAGGGGGGGACGTTGGGAAGACTGTTGTAAACAAAAAGTCCATTGGAGTAAAGTGGGAGTTGGAAGTATGGGGGCTTCTCATTGGCTGAGTTGTGAGTGCTTCTCATTGGCTGGGCTGTTGCTGGGGCGGAGGAAAGTCTTTCCTCTAGTTGCCTGATAGTAAAGTGGTATCTGCAAGGTCCATCTCTTCCTGTTGGGTCTGCAATCCACAAGTGGTAGGGCATGAGAGCGCCCCCCTGCTGGCCTCCCAACTCCATTCTAAACTAGGTTTCCTTTTACTAATTTTCACAAAAGAAAATCGGATTAGAGTAAATTTAGGTCATTTTAGGTTAGTAAATTTAAAAGATTACATGGAGTCTGAAAAACATTATTCCAGGGGGGTTCAAGATTACTTGAGCTCTGGCTATTGAACTCTTTCTTTGGCAAATCTCACCAATCTCACCTTTGGGAAGATTTTTCATTAGAAATTTGAAAAATTTTTTAAAGTTGTGGTAAAATATACATAACATAAAATTTACCATTTTAATCATTTTTTAAAAAGCATTTTATTTTTAAATAATCTCTACACCCAACATGGGCCTCAAACTCACAACCACCGAGATCAAGAGTGACATGCTCTACCAACTGAGCCAGACAGGCGCCCCCCATCTTAACCATTTTAAGTGTACAGTTCAGTAGTGTCAAGTACATTCACACCGTGCAACCAGTCTCCAGAATTCTTCATTTTGCAAAACTGATATTCCACCCATTCAACAACAACTGCTCATTCCCTCTTCCCCCAGTCCTGGTAACCAACCATTCCACTTTCTTGTCTTTATAAATTTAACTATGCTAAGTACCTCATAGAGAGAAACCATACAGTACTTGTCTTTTTGTTACTGGCTTATTAGAACATTTTTAGAGGACTGTTTAGAATTAGAGACAGAGCCACAACTGACCCAGGTCTTCATCACGGGTGGACCCGGATATCTCATCTTTGTGGTCCCTGACTTACTGGTTCTCAACTTTGTTTGTACATTAGACTCACCTGGGGGGTTTTTAAAACCACTCCTTCCTGGATCCCTTCCAGACCAATTAAATCAAAACTGCCGAGAGTGGAGGCTACTGCCAGCGTTGTTTAGAAAACATTTCAGGTGTTTCTAATTTGCGATGGAGGGTGGCCTCCACTGCTTAATTGAAAAGCCGAAAGGCAGAATAACATTGGTCAAATCAAAAAGTTTAGGGGAGATGGTCTTTAAGGTCTTTTTAAATTCTAAAATTTTGCAAAATCAACCAGTGTCTTTGAATTTCTCAACCAGCCTTGGTGGAGTGGATTCGGCTAAACCCAGAAGGAGCTGAGCGATGCTCCCTGGCCTGTGGCTCCCCCTGCAGTCTACTGCTGTCATGACAAGCCCACTGCAGAACCCTCTCACTAGCAGCTCTAACACTGCTCCCAAGGCACCCTTCTGCCACATTCATTCAACAAACACTGTACATTTTATTTTTTTTATTTTTATTTTTTTAAAGATTTTATTTATCTGACAGTGAGAGACACAGCGAGAGAGGGAACACAAGCAGGGGGAGTGGGAGAGGGAGAAGCAGGCTTCCCGCGGAGCAGGGAGCCCGACGCGGGGCTCGATCCCAGGACCCCGGGATCACGACCTGAGCCGAAGGCAGACGCTTAACGACTGAGCCACCCAGGTGCCCCAACACTGTACTTTTTAAAGATGGGTCACGTTTCCTTCTAAAACACTTATCCAAGCTAAGAGATCCTTGTATTTGTGCTCATTACCTCAACTTCTGAAGAATCTGAGATTTCCAAATAATTCTAAGATCCAATGAGGGATAATACAGGAATATTGCTTTTCAGCTTAACGTAAGAAATACTTCTCTGAAACCAGAGCAGTATAATAGAGTGAGCTGCCTTGCGAAATAGTAACTCCCTCATACTAGTGCTACACAGTGAATACTATCTCTAAGCGATGCTATGGAGTAAGACTCCTAAGTTAGAATGAATTAGGATGACCTATGAGCCCCTTCTAACCCCCGAAGTCCATGATTTTAAGCCAGACACTAAAAGAATGATCTACGGCAGGCGAATGGTTTCTGAGCTAAGAAATGGAGCTCTGGGCTCTGATTATCCCAGCTCTCAACCACTCCCCAAGAACTTACTAAATGTAAAGTATCCAAAATGAATACAGGCGGGTCTTGTTTTAAAGGAAATTCATCATAGCATATACAAATTTGAACTTTTCAAGAAGATTAATTAGGACACTGACTTTTGTATTATAAAAGAATTATTGATTTTGTAAAATCATGTTTGGGTAATAGAGTTACTTGGAGCATCTAAGTATTGATTTATATATAGGTCATTGCTTAGCAAAGGTGCTTGGGTGACCAAAGACTTCATTCTAAAGTGTTAACCACTGCCTTGTAGGTTTATGTGGAAATAAGAAACAGTTGAGAAGCTATTAGCAAAACAGAATTTGATTTAATAACAAGTATTTAAACATTCCATCAGAAAACACGGGACGCTCCAAAATTCAGTGCAAAAGAGCTGCAATTTTTGAGGGCTGTAATGTGTCAAACACCTCAGAAACACCTTTTTATCTAATCCTGACATTAGCCTTGCAAGGCAATTTGTTATCATCTCATTTTATGGGTGAGGAAACTGGGTCCCAGAGAGGTTAAGTATCTACTCATGAGCCTAAATTCAAGTCCAAATATTTCTGATTCTTTCCCTCACAACTTAGCCCAATACACTGTCCTTAGAACAAATCACTCACTAACAACTCGAAGAGCAAATGCGTTTGGGTTCATTTTTGACCTTAAAAATGTTCGCAATATGGGCGCGCCTAGGTGGTTCATTCGGTTAAGCGTCCAACTCTTGGTTTCGGCTCAGGTCATGATCTCAGGGTCGTGAGATCGAGCCCCGCGTCAGGCTTTGGGCTCAGTGCCCAGTCCCCTTGAGATCTTTCCCCCATCCTGTCTCTCTCTGTGCTCCTTCCCCCACTCTCGCTCTCTCTCTCTTTCTAAAATAAATAAACAAGTAAAATATTTTTAAAAATGTTTTCAATGTGAATTAGTCACCAATGTTTAAAAATCAGATTTCATGTGAAACTCTGGATGTCCTGTGTGTCTTAAAAATCAGGAGGTTTGGAAGCCCTGCCTTGTGGTCCCGAATGGCGCCAAGGCCTGAGTTCTCCAGGTTGCTCTGGTCCCCATGTTCTGTGTTGTACCCCAGATGAGGAAGTGGACTGTCAGTCAGGACTTATCCCTTCACGCCCAGCCCTCCTTACTTTCCAAATTATCTACCTGGCACCTCCTGGGGCTGAATTTGCAACCCCGATTTAGTCTTTCCTCCATTTCCCTTGCCACCGTTCAGATCCCAAATATTCTGGGTCTGTTTGTCCCAAAGCCATTTTGCATCGTTCCTGTTTTCCAAGAGTAGGTGGGTCTAATGTGTACTTTCTGCACAAAAGTAATTCCGATCTCTCTCATTGTTTTCTCCCGTGTCGGGGCGTTTTGCTTCTGTACTTACTAGCTTGTCTTGCTTTCCATTTTTTCCCGCTCTTGGGGGTTAGATTTGGTGTTGTGGGGCCCATGGGGGAGGAAGGAACACCTCCAGGGACTTTATGGGGGTGCGCCTGACCTACGGCTGCCCAGAGAGCTGCAACCCGGGGCCTGGGCAGGGGACTTGATGTGCAACGGACAGGAGTGAATGTGTCGGTTTCTTTCCAGCCCAGGAAGAATTGGGTCAGTTACCCTTCCCGGCAGACCCCACGGGGTGCCCGCGGTTGTCTTCCCAGCCTGCCCCTTGCCCCGCATAATAGCATGACACCTACTCAGATGGTGTGATGCAACTTCATTTTATTTAGGAAAGCACAGTGGACACGGGAGTGGCCCTTTCCAGGGTGAGGGGAGGCTCAGGGGAGGGGGTGAAAGGGAGGCCTGGCCACTAGAAGGCACAGCTGCTTTCCACGAAGCGGCGGCACTTCATGACCCGCAGGTACGTCTCGGCCTTGTGCAGGTCCTTCTTGAAGCAGGAGAGCAGTCCGTAGTTCTTGAGCAGCGCGTCATCACTGCGCAGGTTTGTGTCAAACTTGTCGTACGTTTGCTTCAGGATCTGCCCGGCCCGGGGGCTGCCGTCTTCCAGCTCCTGCAAAAGGTGGGGAGGGAGAGAGAGGCCCAGGTCTCGGCCGCTGCTCCTCCAGGTCCCTCCGGGTGCGGCCCTCCCCTCCAGGCTCAGGGAAGGGAATGGAGGATTCACGGGTGGGGGGACCGAGGAAGCGCTCTCAGGGGTCAAGGCCGGACTGCTTACTATAAAGGAAGGGGCACCGTCGCCCCTGGAAGCCCCCCACCCCTCATCTGAGCCAGCGGGGCCACCAGGCCCAGCAGAGGGCGGGCACGGCCCCCCAGGAGGGGACCCACGGTGCCATCCCCACCCGCATCAGTGCTTGGATGCCTTCCTCCAGGTCCTTCAGCTTCTCGTAGACTCGGTCCGAGGTGCCAAACACCAGGCTGTTGGTGAAGACCCTGCTGAGGAACTGCACAGGCCCAAGCCACGACTGGATGAGCAGCAGCGAGAAACGGAGCAGCTCCACGTCCTGCGGGCGGAGGGGAGGGTGGGCGCGCCGGCCTTGGCCTGGGGGCCTGGGGGCCTCCCGCTGCCACCCTGCCACCCTGCGCCCCCTCCCACCCCAGGGGCCTGACTCCTGTGGAGAGGAGGGGCCGCCTTCTTGGAAGGAGGGAGGCCCCTGACCCTTGGCTGGCCCGCCCTGGCCTACTCACGGATCTCTGCTGGGCTTCGTCCTTGCCCGTGGGGGCCGGGATGGTCTCGGAGAAGCAGAAGGCAGCCTGCGCATTCTGGATGGAATACCTCTGGCCCTCGGGGATGTACGCACGCTCCTGCAGCAAGGACACCCGCCCAGGGCCGCCTCACTGCTTGACTCGGAAGCCCCCTCAGGCTGTGCTCAGCAGACAGCCTCTTCGCTTGGATGAAATCACCCTGAACTCCTCACCCCTTCCTGCCCCGCCCCCCCAAGCACCCATTCCTGGGACGCTTACAAACTCTTTGTAGGTGTCGGCAGCCAGCTGGTGCAGGTGCTGGGCCCGGAGCACGGCGTTGGCAAACAGGCTGGACAAGGGCATGGCCGGGAAGGCGCCCACCTCCTGAGGCCAGGGCAGGCAGAGCAGGGTGAAGGCCAGGAGCACAGAGTTCCGAGGGCCTACACAGGGACACACAGGGACACACAAGGACACACAGGGACACAGAGGCCAAGGCTGGGGCCCAGACGGAGAGAGGCCTGTTTCTTTCCAGCCCTTCCCCTGCCCACCGCCCCGGGACTGAGAACATGTAACGCTTGGCCAAACGTCTGGGCACAGACCTCTGTGCTCCCCTTCAGCAGCCCCAGAGCCCAGGCTTAGCGTCCCCATCCATTGGCAGGGCCCCCGCCTCACCCAGCGCAAGGGGACTTACCTACAGCCATCGCAGCCGGGTGAGCTGTCCACAGGACCTTGAGCGCTTTGGGGAGCTGGGTGCTGGGATCCTGGAATCGGTCCCTCGTGGGCCCTTTTTATACCCTGGTCCCTTCTCTCTCTCCCCCTCTGCCCCCCCTATTTTCTCTATACATTTATGCATCAGGCCACTGGCCGGTCTGTACTGATGGATAATTTAGAGCCTCCTCCCTCCTGTCCTGTTCCCGCTCTTCTTGGGGTCATGTCCCCCAGGCCTTCGCTGCCATCTTCCCCTCTCCGACGTCACCGGCCCTGCACACAGGGTCTCAGCTTGAGAGACCACCCAGTCGGTCCTCATCTCAAGGGGGAGGAGGCAGGTGCGCTCTGCTAGGGTACCATTGTGAGGTGGTCCGCCCAGGTGAGGAGGACCCAGACCAGTCCCCAAAAGCGGGGCCGTGTCAGGCCGGGAGAGCTTGGGAGGGCTGCGCCAACTTTCCTCGCCCTCTGTTCCCGATCCTCCTCCCCACACGGCTCCCCTCTAACCACCAGAGAGAATGTGTGTCTGGGGAAAGGGAGCCCAGAACAGCCATGGATCCTGGGGTTTCTGGGCACAGTTCAGCCCCAGATTCCACCTCTGCAGCTGTCACCATCCCCCACCCTTTCCCGCCATCCCACCACCTGGTCCAGCCTGAGGCAGCTGGTGCTGAACTCCGACCTCCAGGGGGCCCCAGCCCCACACTGTCCACTCCCCACCAACTCCCCCCCCCCACTTTTCCCTGACGTGGGGGCGCCCCCAGGTGGCTGGGGCAGAGGACCAAAACTGGAGGCATTCCCCCCTGCTCCTCGGACCTGCTACAGAGATGCAAACCAAGAAGAGAAGTGAACAGACCCAGGCCCCAAGTGCTTCCCCCCGCCCCTCAAGCCCAGGCCCCGCCAGACGATCTGAAGATTGGAAGAGCCCTTGAGGGCTTGGGTCTCGTCCCCAGCGCTGGAACTCCAGGTACAGCACCCCCACAGATGTTCTCTCCAGTCACCCTAGTCTCTTCCCAGTCTCTCTTCCCCTTTAAATATTCGTACAGAGCTCATCATGTTGTGACACTTTTGACCCTCACAACCATCTCGTGAAGGCAGTATTATTACCTCCCCATTTTACAGAGGAGCTGACTGAGGCTCAGAGAGGCTTGCTCATGCCAGCTACCTCAGCTGAAGCTGGCCTCCAAAACCCTGCTCTTTCCCTGTTGATCATCCCAGACTCTTTCTCCCGAGCAGACTGGGTGGACCACTCGGTCATTTCATCTTCTAAATCCCTCTCAACACAGGGATCCTGCCCCTCATCACGAGGGTCCCTTTGCCTCATTTTGTCCTCCCCTACGAGGCAGACTTTTGTTCCTCATTTCCGAGGCGAGACGGTGGCACGTTGGAGACCAGGTAGCCCTGTAAGGCGGGGGCCGGGAAGGCTTGTGTAGGACAGCCGCCCTCCAGCCTCCTGGTGCCCAGGCTTGGGGACATTGTGGCATCTGCAGGCCACCAGCAACAGATCACCCCCAGGGCTAAGAGCAGGAAAGAACACATTCCCCTCCGTGTAAACCTTCCACCCCTTGAATCTAAGAACATTTAGCGCTTGCCCTGTGGGAAAACAAATAAATGAACCAGCAAACCCTTCTAGAGGTCGTTGGTTATGGTGTTGACAACCAACGTTGAAAAGTCACACCCTCATGGTCCAGGACAGGAGTACTGGCGTCTTGCCACCTCCCACTTTTAGGATACAGCTTCCTTTTCTCCCATCATTCTGGAATCATTGCCCAACCGTGCCCTGATTCACTATCCACTGGGGAAGGCACTGGGCACACGGAGCTGTTCCCCCGGCGGGGCTGAGGGAGGACCAGAGTGGGCTATCATTAAAGATGGAGGCCTGAGGAAAAGGGGAGCGTGGGGAAGACTTTCCTCTCTTCCCTGCAGCTCTACCACAGAGGAGGGGCCAGGAGCAAAATGGAGGAAGCTCTCTGAGCCCCACACAGCCTTCTACCTCCCTGCCCCCCTCTTTCCACCCTGTGGAGGAGGACTGATGTGGAACCCTTCGTGACCAGTTTCTAGCTCATGGTGGGGGAACTTGTATGTGAACTGTGGACCATGGGTGAAGAGTCAGGCCTCCCCTAGGATTGAGGGTACAGGAGCCCAAGTTGGGGACTGCTCGAGAACCACACAAGGTGAGCACAGGGGCAGTGTGGCTGAGCTTCCCCACAGGCAGGGTACTGCCAAGAACAGATGGAACTGGCCAGATCAGGGGAGGGGCTCTTCTCTTCTCACCAAACCCACTTCCATTGACCCCAGAACTAGATCGGCTCATAGGACTCTGGAGGTCCCTGAGGATACCCATTTAGGGTTACCATGGTGGCAGCAAGAACGGAGGGGGTGGTGAGGTAGACTTGGGATTTTCCCTCCGGTGCTGGGGAATCATCCACCCTTTCTTGGGGCACCAAAGGGCCAGATCCCTGGCTTCTTCAGGTTCAGAGATTGGCGAACCATGGCCTCTGCATGGTGGCCGGTAGGAAGAGGCTGTGATTAGCATCTCCGGGGTCAGCCTCAAAAGGCTCGAGATGAATTGCCCATCATCTTGGAATCCATGAAATCCAGCGTGTTTGGAAGCCCTTCATATTTTCAGATTTGAAATCTGGGGTTTTCTGTACCTATTGTGGAAGCTCATGGAAGTGGCCTCTTTCAGGCTTCAGGAACCCCTCTGAGGTTCAATCCGTGAGGTTTGGGGCCAACTTATTTTGGAGTCATACTTACCACGGCCTTGGGGCCAGCCTCAGAGAGACTGGTAACCGTTCTTCCTACTTCCCCCACCTTGGTCACTTGAGGCCCACATTTCCCACCACGAACTCTGTGCTGGCTTCTTTGAGGCTGGAGGCTGGGATTACCCCTGGGATGTAACTCTGCCTCCGCTTTGTTTCCAGCATGAGTCCGAGCACCATGTCAGTCATCCAGCACTGGGTCAAGGTCTCTAGAGAATGTTATGTGGGGATTCCCAAAGACTTCGTCAGGGGAGGTGGGGAAGGAGATCAACATTTCTGAGTGCCCACCACGTGCTAGGCTCCATCCTGGCTGATAGGGGTGGGAGGCCCATTTCAGAGGAGGACACTCAGACTCAAAGAAATAAAGTATTTTGCCCACAGTCTCTTGGCTCCTAAGTGATAGCTGCCCAAGGCCCCCATCTTCCTACCACATGGAACTCTTTAGAACCCTCATCCGGGAAAGACAGTGGCGCTGTTGGGCATGGACAGAACTTTCCTCAGCACAAAGCTAGCAGAGGAGGGTCAAATCCCCACTCAGAAGATGTTCAGTGAAGCTGGGGGGAATTGAACGGAAGGAGCTTCACCCCAGAATGAGGTCCACAGACACCAAGAAAAGCTGCAGAAAAAACAACCCGATGTAACCCGATTTAATGAACCAAATCACATCATCCTTCACATGTGAATTGCACGTTTCAGTGTGCATCATGTTTTCACTTCCTTTATCTCTTTGGACCCTTGGGTTTGCCACAGGGCTCAAGCAGGGAGGAAGGGCCTTGGAGGGCTTGGGGGTGGGGGTAGTATAGGGGTAGGCACTCCTGTGGGTTAATAAGGGTGTTGTTTACCCTGGCGGAGAATCTCTGGACCATCTACAAGTGCATAACAGCCTCCATAACTGGACCTATTGATTTCCACTTTGGGGATTATTCCCCAGGGAGACAGTCCCATGGATAGAGAAGTAGTGAGGGGCACCTGGGTGGCTCAGTCGGTTGGGAGGCTGCCTTCGGCTCAGGTCATGATCCTGGGGTCCTGGGATCGAGATCCCCGTCAGTAGGGCTTCCCTCTCAGCGAGGAGTCTGCTTCTCCCTCTGCCCCTCCACCTGCTCTCTCTGTCTCTCTCTCTTTCTCTCTCACTTTCTCTCTCAAATAAATAAATAAAATCTCAAAAAAAAGAAAAAGAAAAAGAAGTAGTGAGTACCCAGGTGTGTCCAGCAGCTGTGGGAAGTCTGGGGTGCTTTTCTGATTGGTGCCCTTTATTGGAAATCACCTCTGACTCCTTTTTACCTAATTCTGTGCTTATTTGTGGACACTTTATGTCCCTTGTGGGACTGTAAACCCTTCGAGGCTGGATTCATGCCTTTCATCAATTCATTCATTCACTCATTCTCTTTTTCATGCATTAACTGGTTCTAGAAGTAGTCATTGCTCTTTCTATGTGCCGGATATTGTACCCGGCAGATGGGCATACCCAGATGAAAAAAAGGCACCATCTTTTCTCTGCTGGAGCTTACAGTCTACGGGGAAGAGAGACAAGCGCAAACAAATGAATACATAATGGCAAAATATACAAGGAAATTTCACATTGCCAAAAATGCCATGAAAGAAATAGCTAAGATACAGAGGTGAGAGCAAAGCCTGGGAGGAGGGGGGGACAGACAGCGGGCACAGTCCCAGAGCCAGGAACTCAACCGGCACGTGCTAGGCGGGGCAAGCAAATGTGAGGACGATGACAAGGGAAGAACTCAAATACCCACCCACCCGGAGATGATAAGGTAGGCCACCTTGTGTCTCCATGTCCTTCTCAGAGAATGAATTTAAAATGAGAAGTACCCCCCAAAAATCATAAAAAGTACAAGATCTTGCAATACACGGCACTACGTGCATGAAAAAAATTTAAATGAAAAAAAAATAGACAAGGCAGTATGCAGATGCTGATCACGAGCACACACAAATATTCTACACAGACTCATGACTTGCAGAACCTGAGCCCTAAGCGGGACCTCCCGAGGTGTCTGGCACCGCCCCCCTCCCCCCCCGCTTTCACCCCCAGAGAAAGTGGTGTTCAGCTGGAGAGAAAGAGGTCTTTATTTATTTATTTTTTTAATTTAAGAAATGCACTAGGATCCATCTAAATGTGCTTTAACAAACTACACTCTGAACTCAGGATTGAACGCTAGTCAATTTTTGTGCTCTGTGGAGTCATCCAAGTTTCCAGGTAGAGGCTTTGGAGTTGGAGGGGTCTCTGAGGTATCCCAAGTAGAAGGTGTGTTGTTTTTTGTTTGTTTGTTTGTTTGCAACTG